GCCGCTTTTCATCAGGAAAGAACGTGGTTTCTTTCTTTGCTGATTTCACGTGTTGCCTACTCAACATGGCTACAAGTGAAAGAGACTGCTTCTTTACCAACGTCCATCGCGACACGGAGAGCTTCCTTGGCTGATCTTTCAGAAGGCCGTCGGGGGAGAAGAAAGTGAATTATGGCGGATGCCAATGAAAGAGGAAACGCGGTCTACGTTGGAAAACGGGACCTTAGGAGCTCGTCAAAAAACCGGAGGGGGTGAAACCGGTTCTGATGAAGTGGGTTTACAAAATTCATGCGGGACGCTCTTGGAAATGTGGACCCGGCTGGTGGCCAAAGGGTGCCTGCAAAGCAAGGAATTTGACTTTTGAGGACGTCTACGCCCCGGTGAGCAAGCACACGACTTTGTATGCGCTATTGGCGGTGTTTGCGGAGCACGATTTGAAGCTGCACCAGCTGGACGTCAAGACGGCGTTCCTCAATGGGGAGCTGGAGGAGGAATCTACATACAGCAGCCGCATGAATACGAGCAAGGCGGGCCCAAAATGGTCTGCCACCTTAAGCGCACCTTACTTACGGGTTGCGCCATGGGCCGCGTGCATGGCACATGCGCTTTAAGGCGGAGCTCGGAAACACTGAAATTGTGGCGTCAATGGCGGACGCAGCGCTCTTCACGGGATAGTGGCCGGGAAGCAGGTCTACTTAGTGGTGTGGGTGGACGATATTCTAGTGGGGGCCCAAGGAGCGAATCGCATTGCAAAAGTAACGGCGCATTTGGGGAGACGTTCGACGTGCGCACCTTGGGGGAGGCAAATACTTCCTTGGAATGGAGCTGATGCGCGACAGGGAAGCACCCACCCGGAAGCTGATTTTGAAACACAACGTTGTTCGAAGTGATATACTTAATCAATCAAGTTCACACAATGTATATGGAGTATTCCGAGTCACGGCCTATCTCTCGGTCTACACTCTAGCCTAGTAGGCTCAGTGGACCATCACCTAGTAAATTCGAAAATTTCACTCCTTACCGTACATCAACGGCTATTATCGAAGCTATGATTCAATATCGAGGGTTCTCATTTGGGTGTAACGTTGTAATGCGCGCGCATTTAAGCGTGTAACCGTAACTAAAAATTACTGTCGAATCACCGTCGGCGTCGTGATCCTGAAACCCTAGGATCAGATTCGGTCCCTAAATGCCCGTATGTCAACACTAATGCAAAAGAAGCTGACAGGAGAGCTAGTCGGACGGTGCGGACTAGCAAGCGCTCGAGCGCGCAGCAACCCTCAAGGGACAACGAACAAATTGACGAAAGAGGGTGAGCCCCTCAACACAAAGCGGTTTCCCTATAGTGAGTGCTTGGGGAGCATGTTGTACGTGAGTGCGTGCACCAAGCCCGACATTGCACAGGCAGTGGGCGCGCTTGCGCACTTTATGGCGTGGCCGAAGGAGGAGCACTGGCGGGCGGCGCTTGGAGTTGTGCGCTACCTGGCGGGTACAACAGAGGAAGGGGTAACCTTTGGGGGGAGCGGAGAGACTCTCTTCGCATATTGAGACGCGGACTATGCGGGTGACATGGACGCGAAGCGGCCCACAACAACCTGTACGTCTCCCGGATGTACGAGGGGGCAGGGAGCTGGTCAAACAGGCGCAACCAACGATGGCGGCCTCGACAGTCGAGGCGGAGTACATGAGTGCAGCGCAAGCATTGAAGGAGGCGCTGTGGTTCCGCAAGCTCGGGGAAGATCTTGAGTTGGACCTCGAGACGGTCCAAATCTTTTGCGACAACCAAGGGGCAACACGGCTCCTCAAGCACTTGATTGCTTCACATTGACCTGATTCATCACTTCGCACGGGAGCTTGTGGCACGCAAGGAGGTTGCATTCGCGTACAGCAGGACGGAGGACATGAAGGCGGACATTATGACTTGTGCGTTAGCACCGAGGAAGTTCAAGAAAGTGCAAGAGCAAGAATGAAAACTGCATGAACCATGGATGTGTGAAGGGTTCGGATTCGGGCATTTAGTGCACGCGATCTCTTGGTGACGTCGACAAGAATTCAACTGGTCCCGGTAGGAAGCAGTCGGCGGTTGAATGCGCGCGGGTTATAGCGTTACACCCGAATGATTTATTGAGATAATCGCCGTAACGAGTAGGCTCGATAATAGTCGTAGATAT